ATTATTGACTAAATTGCCGAACTTTAATTTTCAGAGTGCATAGTTCATGAAATCTGTAATCAAAACTTACCTAACTACTTTCTCTAGATTAGATCTAGATTAGGAGTTGTCTTTAAATTTATCATGTACTGCAATTGCATTACTGGCTTTGAGGCTTCTGCATTTTTGCTTGTGCAAGTATTCCCACTTGATAATGATCTTATTTGGATCACTGATCAGCCAAGTAGAGAGCTACAATTACTGACTAAAGGAAAGAAAGTCATATATGACTTTAGTCTTTGCTTTTTCTTCAAAAAGCTGTGTTTATTATAATTGTACTAGCTGCTTTACATCAAAACACAACCCAAATTGTGTTAATACATTACAAACCTGTCTAACTGTACAAAGTCCCTTTTTAAGGCCTTTAATCTGCAAACCAGCAATTGACAAGCGGGCTAGTGAGGTTTAAACAGCACTCAAGTTTTGCATATTTAACTGCTTTAAGTGTGGGTAACTTCTGTTCAAACCACAGCTGAACCAGAAAAAAAGCTGTAATGCAGACTTGGTTATATTGGCAATAAAAGCTCATTTTGCTGATGTAGCTTACTCAAAGTAACTTGTTTAAACTGTACTAGTAAAATAGGTTTTTGCTAATGAAGAGCAGTGTTTCTAATATAAGGGTTTGTAAATGTTACTGTACCTACAAATCCTTTCCAGTCTACAAAGGGCCAAAATGGAAGCTTGGAAATTTTTTTTTTTTTTTTTAAAGTTATTCTCTAGTAGAGAGTTTAAGAAGTTATTAACAACTGATGTAGTATGGAATAAAGCAGTGTACTGAATTTCTAAAAGAGGAAAAATCCTTTTACATATTGTTAATGCTTTGAAAACTTGTTTTAAATATTGTTGAAAACAAATATTTTTCAATCCTTTCAATAAAATCTTTTTGTAAAGTTGGATTTGTAAAGCAGCACTTTGACTGTTGAGAATATAAAATTACGTATACAGAACTACTTGCTTGGAAGGCAAATGTTCAGTGTGGGTTTTTGATACATTGTCTCACGGGACAGTACCATCTGTTTTCTAGAAATATACCTAAGGCTTTTTTGAATGTATATGTCTGATACTAGTCTTTTCTCAAAAGTGTCACAATAAAAGCTGGATTTGCTGTGCAAGTTGAAACAAATCTTCTGTACAACTAGTTGGGCTGCATTAACTACTTTTTTTGAAGGCCCAAGAGTAGAAAAATGAGGAAAGAAATAGTTAAGGGCAATAATCTGAGATAATGTCAGATAATTTGGATACCCAGTAAATTTAGGATTGAAAATGTAGTTTAAGTGCCCATTCTATCTTTGCCTGTGCACATTGTGGCCAAGTTCTAGACACTTCTTCCATGAAACTTGTGGCTAATAATCATGATGTCTTTTTATGATTTCATAATTCACCTGTAACCTATTCCAACAGTTCATGCAGGTCCAATGATTGATTGATAAATGTGAGGAAATGTCTTATGCAGGTAATACAGCTGCTTTTAAATGGAGTTCGTTTGCTTTGCAAGGTACCTTAGAGTTTTCCATCTTCTTATGCCTGGCTAGTGACAAACTCTTGCTGTCTATGGCCAGAATAATAACCCACCATTTCTGTGACAGTGGCACTCTATTGCCTATGCATAAAGCAGGGAAACAGCACTGCCAAAGGCTGGACCCTTATTTTTACAGATGAAGCTTTTGAGATAGTTTATATGCAATTTGCTAGTCCTGTCTTGTCAGAATGAAGGCTTCTTAACTGTTGTCAGTTTAAACGGCCCAGTTCTAGCATTGAGAGCTGTGATCACCATAGTTTGCTGAACCAGCAAAAAGTATTCTCCATCCCCCCAGAGTCTTTCCAAGCTGAGGTATCAAAAATTTTGGCACAAAAATTAATTCAGCTGGGCTGATTAAAAAATGGCTGTATCAATTTACCCTGGGTTTTTAAGAGTTAGGAGAACTTAAAGTAGCCCAGAATTGGCCATAAACCTGTGTGAACTCTGAGGCCATCTTTTTCTAGTTTTGCCCTGCCTTGCCCTGCAGCATGTCTACATGATAAGCTGAAATGAGTGTTGGTACCAACATGCAGTTTAATCTAGATTGTTCACATAGGCATCAGGTGGCAGTATAGATTACAGCCATCGTGGGAAATCCAAAAAAAAAATCTCATACTGGATGTGAAGGTCAACACAGCTTGTACTTGTTGCTGCTGTTCCGTGAAATACTAAATTTTAATTTAATCTGGGTCTCCCTTTGTGTGCAGCAGTCCTACCTCTTGATGACAGTCTCATGCTCCTTGTGCAACTGCGAGATGCCTTACTGCATTGCTGATTAATGAAAGGAGTGGTAGAGAAGCATATAGCGTTTACAGTGGTATTACGATTTGTTTCATAAAAACATGATTATGTTCTAAAGACAATTTGAACTAGCTATGCCAATTAATGACTTATTACTGTGGGGCACAGGATTGCAAAGCCTAAATGCTCTTCCTTACTCTGTCAGTCTCTGTCTTTCTGTGCTGTGTTCTTTTAACTTTTCTGGAATCCAGATTAGTATCAGCTGTTGCACATGTGCACAGCAGCTTGAAGCTTTTTTTGAGCGAAGTCATGAGAACAACAGGGAACAGTTTGGTCTCACGTATTGTCCTCAAACAGAAAAGCAGGAAGCTATACCCAGAAAAATGGCATTAAAGCTACCAATACTTTGTAGTGATGGGAAAGTAGCAAGTTGATTCATTTTTTCAGTAATGCACAAAGAAAAATTGAACTCAAAGGCTTGAACAAAGAACAGGTAGAAGATAATAATGCAAAAATGAAGTGCATGAGTGGTTTGGACTTTTTCTTCCTGTTGGGTGTGCTTATTTTACTCTATATGAAAAAGTAGCCTCTCTACATGCTGTTTTTGAGAGATTTCTCATACAGCATGGAAAAGAAGATTGATCGCAGAGGGAAAAATGTTTGTATATTTATCAGTTGTTAAGAATTTGTGCAAATTACCTAAAACTGAAATTCCTTTTGCATGTTCTGGGTAAAACTTGCTAAATGCTGTTGACAGAGGAGGTTCTTGATGACATGTAGAGCAGTAGCTTCCACTTGTTTGGTATAGTGTGATTTGTTCCCATTGTTTTCCCCTTCTATTGGCGAATTACCAATAAAAAATGTGATGAGTAACTTTGCATTTATCCAAAGTTAACTTTGGAATTAGCTGGATTAATCTCCTGCTTTAATAATAGAAAATGTGAAAGTTGGTTGTCTGAACCAGTAGGTTTAATGATTGTCTACATCCAGGGTTAGAGTGGCTGGGCAAAAAATAAAGTGCTTCAATTTAGAGTAGGCCAAAGATACTGCCTGCAGATTATGACAGGATTGCGTATCAGGAAACTTTCAGAGATTCAGCCTAGTAGCTCTTATCTACACAAATACTAACTTAAAGACCTTGTGAAAAAGAACAGGCAGATTTCCACAGGAACTTAACAAGACCTTAGTCAGGAATAAGAACATTTTTCTGTGAAAATATGACAGTTAATTCTCCAAGGCATAACAATATGTTTCTGCTTTGGGGGAGATAAATGTTTGAATGTAATCACAACTTTTTTCCTTTTAATGATACATTTGTTTCTGCCATCTCCTTGTTATGAAGATAAAAGGAGCATAGCACAAGCCTACTTTCTTCAGCTAATTTTCACCAAGTACAGGCCTACTGCACGATCAAAGTCTTCCCTTACTGGTCCTGCTCTAGGTAAGACCTGCTGCATGTTTGCTAGTTTTAGAAAAGGATTGAATATGCTTAATTGTGTTCCTCCATTTCAGCAACAATTCATAGTCACATTTTGACTTGTGGAATGAAGTCAGTCATCAGCTGGTACACTCGTCCTTTCTCTTGATACTGTCAGCTGTATGCAGTCTGACTACAGACATTCAACCTCTTCATGCCTCCATTGTGCTATCAATAAAGTAGATTTGTTTCAGGTTTAGAAGACTAGGATGAGAAAAATATTTTTTTTATAGAAGTTTTGAGATCATCCTTGCAACATTTCCCTCATAAGCTGCAATAAACTATTTTAACTACTTCTGCAGTGTACAGATACCTCCAACTTAAAGATATATCTGAAGGGGAGTATGATGGCAATGTTCATGGCACATATGAATTGCAGTTCCAGTCTCTTCCATACTCAGTTTGTAAACAGGCTTCCCATTGAACTCATGCTGTTGACACGAGAAATAATTATCCATGCGCAAACTGTGTTTATACTTTATTAAAAAATAGACAGCCAGTAGCTAAAGGTTCCAATCAATAAAATACCAAACTTTTAAATTGCAATATTAAAGGCTTAGTTTAACAGTCAGCCTGGTGTATGAAATGGCACATCGGTTAGATACACTATAGGAAGGCATAAGATTACATTGCGTAGTTTTCATGTGTAGCTGGGATTTAAAAAAACAAAAAAAAATTGAAATATTCCTCCTCTGACTTCAGAACAAGAGCCCTAGCCATTCTGTTGGAGTTAAGCCATCACACAGCCATAGTGGAGATCAGGGAATACAGCTGTCACCGAAACAACGTCAGTGCTTGACCTCTGTTCAGCAACAGATCTGAGTTGAGAAATGATGGTAGGGCAATCCACTTCTAGATTCTGGTATGTAAGATGGATGTGCAAATTATTATTATGTTTGTGTATATCCAGAAAAACAGCATTTATATTAACAACATTCTCTACTCACATGCATGTTGTGAACCTCCTATGGTTACAAAGCAACATCAGGAAAACAAGGAGTGAAAGATGCATTGTCCTGTCAGCAAAACTCACTGAATCGAGAGGATTACAGTTAATTTCCCGAGAGCACTTTGCTTTTTAAACTAAGTTACCAGCTGTGCTGCTATAGTTCCCTAGCACGATACGATCCAAGAAATGTATAGATGTTTTTCTGAGCAAGTTCCTCTACCTCTGTGAAACTGACCCATTGTCTTACATCCTGAATGCAAGTACTTGATCAGAACTTCCCCGGCTACAATTTCACTCTGTAAGAGCTGCAGATAGAACACAAGGGGGATGCTCAGGAGTCGATCCTTCCATAGGAAGAAAACACTGTGGGAAGAAAGGAAGACCAGTCAACACCAACACCCAGCAGCATTTATGTCCTTCTTGTAAAAGGAGGTTTGGGTAGTTTAAGATTAGTGGTTCTCTAGGTCCCTTTATTCTGTCTCTCTCAGTTATTATAAGGCAGTTATACAGCATAATGAAGAAAAATTACATGTATCTTGCGTAGAGGACATTTTTCCACACAGGTCTGTTTTTCTGGATAGCAGCGATTCTTACGTAGGTTAGAAGCAACTTTGACTAATGTCAGTTTTCTTGAGGGAGAAATCACGTTATGTTCCATCCAATCTTCTGAACTTTGTCATTAGGGATCTGCCTTTTATTATGACTATCCCTAACTATTTTCCTGGCTCGACAAGCTCTCTGCTTAATTGTGACTGTCATACAATAGGCTACAACCTTCATAGTTAAGGCAACCTTTTTAAGTACTTACTTCTTTCTCTCAGCCCCTGCCCAAAGCTGCGGTAGACATGAATCAGTGCCCAAAACAAAACAGATTTTATTGCAACAGAAATGCAAGAGCCGGTAATGAAAGCAGCTTCCAGAGTGTAAGAATTTCCTTTGCCCCACTCCCTTATCACCTGCAGGAAAATAGAGACATACAACAGTCAACACCTAGTGCCACAAAACCCTGAAGCCATAAAATGCAATCAGCCAACCACTAAGTTTCTGAAAGAAGTCACTGGATAGTAATTGGGGGGGCGGGGAACTGGTCACTTTTAAACTGTCTTACTTTGCCGATTACATGATTCCCTGGGTGCACGCTGATTCTAGCTAAATGCATACACCATCTCATCTCTGCAGCACTGAAGTCATATCAAAACAGTATTGTGCCCAGACTGAAAGAACGATTAAGCTGGAGATAAGGAAACCAGACTGCATCTTACATCTCAGTTTCTTTCCACTGTAAAATACAGAATGAAGTTGTGTTCCCTGGCTGTCATTGTAGTGTTATTGTCACACATGTCCAGGGGCCAGCTTCATGATCCCATTTTCATTCATGGCTAGCCTGATTACTGTGCTTATGACATTAGTAATTGCCTAACCTGTGCTTTTTTGAGAGGTCTGACACAGAGAAAATGGCAACTTTTAATTAAAAGCAACATGTTTATATCCTGCAGCTATCTACTGCATTGAAGAGGGGTCACTGCTCCCATGAACAAAGAATGATCAGGCATGTTAATACTAAGATGAGAAACTTCTGCAAAAATCCAGTACTGAAAGAAAGATACTAAGATCTGGCAGTATTCTTTTCCCCCCTTCCTGCAGGTTTGAGTCATTGCCCTAGCAGGCCTAGTGATTGTCAGGATGAGATTTAAAAAAGCATAGTTCTGACTACTTTGATTTGTTAACAAACCCAATGGCATGTATTCCAAATCAAGGCAGGTTATGGATGTCCTGGCCAATTTTGGTGCAATTAGTTGGTTTGGCTATTAAGTTCTATCAATTTTCCTGTTTACAGGGTTGTTAGCAGCTGCTATATAGAGTCAATCTAGCAGCCTTTTCAGAGCTGAAGTAATTAACAGTAAGTGCAGTTTACTTTTTTTTTCCCCCTACCTTTCAGTTAGTCAGATAAAAGATGTTAAAAAGAATTGGTTTGAAGAAGTGACTACATTACAGATCTCTCTAGCAGAGAGGAGTATTGCATTGCATGTCCATGCCCTCATTTGCTGGTCACTCTTGCATGTTCATTGTTACCATACAAAATTGGAAGGAGACCTAGCTATTTTCAAGTTGTCATGTTACTCTTAATGTCAGAAGCCACCACCTGTACTTTTCTTCCTAACTGCAAGATAAGTAAAGTATAGCCACCAAAGACAGCGTGTGGTCCTTCTGTGCTTTGTCAGATCAAACAAACAGGCCTGTGAATAATTGGAAGAGCCTGATTTGACTGCATACTTTAATAGATCCCCAAGGACTTGGATGACTGCAGCCACTGGACTCTTATCAGTACCTGGAGACTATTTACGTAAAGTATGAGAAACACTGGCTGCTATCAGCATTTGAGTCCTTCCCATGATGACCAATCTGCCTTGCCCTTGCTCTTGCCCTTCTTCCTTACCTCCTTTCACATGTGTTGTGGGAGTTGCTGGGGTGCCCCAGTGATAAGTGCTTTATCGCTATTATAGTGCCAAAAAAATGCCTAAGACTGGAGTTTGTTGGGCTTGCATGTCTCTTGTTTTGGCTACATCAGAATCGACAGCTGGTGCCTAAGAAATGCCTAAGAAATTCTTTAAAATACAATGACTTGAGGCCCTGCAGGTGGTCAAGTGCTCTGGCACCACTTGAGACTTCTTGTGAAGGAGGGTAGGCATTTTTGAGGAGCTGTGTATCTTGTACTGGAGGATTTTGTTGTATCTTGCCCTAATCATTCCGGACACTTTGCCAGTTGCAGAGACTTCCAGGGCCTCTCCCTCTAACTAATCAGTTCAAGAGCAATTTGACATGGTTCCTGTCTTGAAAAGTTGATCCTGAAGAGGTAGGACGTGCCTGCTGCTCTCATTGATTCTGACAGGAGCTGCAACAAAGGGGTACGCTCAGGAATGAGGCACCATGTTTTGGGCCCAAGGATCCAGTAATGAAGAGGAGGCCTCCAGCCTTGCTCCTTGTTATTGAGCAAGTAAATTTGATGAATTACCGTGTAAAGCAGGTAGATGAGATAAACTACTTCAGGTATATTCTGACCCAGAAAAATCCACACCAGAGGTTTCAGTTCTTTTAAGATCTGTAAAATAAGATGAGATATATACATAACTTTATAACTTGTTGCTATATACTCTATAAAGGCTATAGTTGATTTTTCAATAGCATTTCAAATGTTGGTCTAGCTGAGTTCTCAGTTGTAACTTTGTTCTCCTCTTGCCTTCTCTACCTATGTTTTTTTAGCAGGAAATACCGTCTCTCTTTTCCACTGAGCTGGGCCAGGAGTGATGTTGGTGAAATCAGAACTGGTTGTTTCATGGGCGCATCCTGACAGCTGTCTGTGATTTGAGCCATCTCGGCATTGTCTTGAGCTCTGCCTTCTAATGCTTACAGTACAACTCCCAGCTAGCTTAAATGGAAAAGCAGCTGACTCAGAATTACGCTGATGTACTTTTTCTTTGGGTACGCTCAGATTTTTCTCTTAACAAATTATGTCTTCGTAGCTAACAGACTGAAAGCACTCTGACTTTTTTCTCCACCTTTGTTTCTACTACAGAGGAATAAAGTCACTGAGAACTAAAACGTGGGAGAAGCAAGAGGATTTAACTGTCAGAAAAGCTTTGTTTCACAATTAACCTTGGGACTTGGGAAAGAAGAAACGATGGACTGCTTTCCGGCAGGTAGCAACTTTCAGCGGTCCTGAACTGGAAGGGCAGGTCTGAGCAAATGAAAGAAAAACAACTGAGTCACTGGGAATGAAAACAGTGACTGCGCCAATGCTATGATAAGATTTGATGCATCTGATCAACCACAGATTCCCCCCAAAACCAATATTGATTCTTCTGCAAGGGTCAATATGTGAACCTCTACAAAAGTATTAAGGGAACTGTCCCTCCCCTAAGGAGTCTGTTCTTTGCCACCTCTCCTATTGTCTCTGTTTTCGGTGGTACTGCATAGTGCTCCTCTTAAGATAAGACCAAAAGGGAAAGGAAAACGAAGGCTGAGAAACAAGAGGAGGGGGAAAGAGACAATTAGTAATTAACAGGAGAAAAGAGAGAAAATTAATAATGGAGATTAGGAAAAATAAATCCACTAAAGTAAATGGGAAAGTGTGTATATAAATAGAAGAAAAATAATGAAAAATCCCCTTGTGAAATGGCATGTGCATCAACCCAGAAATAAGGGAGCATGAGGTTAAGCTGTGCTTTCAGGTATTGCGGTTACCAGAAAGGACCATGTATGAGGCATTTCCAAGTTTTTCCTTCTGTTATGCTTATACTTTCTGGTGGGTTATGTATGTCTGCATACCTTTCTTGCATAGCAACCTCATAGTAGGAGAGCACCAAACAAGACAATGATAGATGTTTCTCTACTGCTGCATCTTTCTGCAAGCAGCTGATTGTGAAAAACTTGTCTGAACAAGGTAATGAAAAGGAGTTCCTATTGTCACCCCTCTGTCAAACTGTCTACATGCTCTAGCCTGAGACAGAATCATTTTTACCTTGGATGCAAAGCTACCAGACAGACCCTTATGAAATGTATCCACCTTTTCTAAGTTGCTGTTGCCCTGCAGTGCTGCCACTTACTGAAATACAGCGCTACATTTTTTTTCATTAATTTTACATTTCCTATTTCTTAGTTAGACAAGAAGCTGTTAACTTCTTCCAGCAGAGAAGTCAGTAATGTACCTAGACGGGGTTAAAAGTAGCTTTCAAGTAGTTCTAACATACGCAGTTTTGAGCAAAGGGCAAGAATATGTACTTATCCCTAGGACATTGACTATTACTAGTTGAACCATTAAGAAACACGTTTGCTATTGATGAAAGCATAAGGAGTATCACGTATGTTAGGACAAGAAACCATCTAACTGAAGCACCTCTTTCTTTTCTTAAAAGAAACAGTGCTTCTTTTAATGCCTAAAGGCAAATAAAGGATAAGCAAAGAACTCATAATCTGTGAAGGGCAACGGGTCAGATCAACTTTGTTTCTGATGGTGGGGGAAAAGTGGCTGAAAGGTTTACACTTTAAATCCTAGCAGGAAAACAGACATGGTTCTGATTACTCCCTTCTTTCCACACCCGATACAACTTAACTGAAAGCAAAGATCCAGTGCCTCACAAAGGTATATAAGGAGCTCCTAGGAGGAAACCAAGCTGTTTAATATCCCTGTCTGCATTCCTAAGTGTCACACTCACAGTTAGTCCTGTCTCCATTTTTCCTTGCTAGGTAGCTGTTAGTGGCCATGACACTCCAAAGTTCAGGAGAAAGATGATTCTGTGCAACTATTCACCTCAAGTTACTAAAGTATTTTAAAAGCACAGTGCTTGGTGCTAGCTCCATTTTTAGCAAGGAAGGCAATCAAAACACTTGAAAAGCTGTATTTCAGCTGTCAGGAATTTGGCTGAATGGCTAAAGCAAACACCCAAGGAGTCTAAAAACCCAACAAACCCAAAACCCCCTAACCTCCTTCCTGGTAATAAAAAACTCACATATCTGATGTACTTTGGCCCTGATTGTGCAATCATTCTTGGAACAGAGCTCTCAAGATTTTGGAGGAAGTTCAGTCTGACTGACATGAAAAACTAAACTTCCAACTTCACAAATCCTTACGTTAACCTGAAAACTGCCACTCACCTTCAAAGAAGCTGCCCAATAAAGGACCACTCATCTTTTTGGTATGGTTTTCTAAGGATATAAGGACTATACAAGTCTCACTGCATCTGTATATCCATAATAATTTGGAGGACTGTTGCAAGTTTCACCTAACTTTCTCAGAGAGGTAGAAATATTGGAGATAATGTGATCTTATAGGTTTCATTACAGCAGGTGATCAAGGACTGAGAATAAAACAATGTCCCTCAGAAAGGAATAACGATAGTGTGACGTTTCATCGTGTACACTCAGACTTCATTATTGTTGGTGCTCTTGTTTTCTGCTGGGATCCATTCTGGCTCCCTTCCACTTAGCAGTATTACGTAGAATGGGATGGCTGTGACTTCCCAGCCTGTGATAATTGCTCGGGGTGAGAACTTGTAGTCTCAGAAGTTGGCTATCCTTGCTAGTGTCGCTGTTAGCTTAACACTTACTGCGATGATGCTAATGGTCACCTTCAGGCAGGCCCAAAGGACCCCTGTTGCCGAGATGATGTTATGTAGAAGGGTGATCTCATGCAGGCTTATCAGCAGAACACACAAGCAGAGCTGAAAGAGAGGAGGCAAAGATTTGGTAAAATTGTTAGTTTGAGACCATACAGCCCACCAAAAAATATTTGACACAGACTCCCAGCAACAGTAAGCTGGGCACAGATCTAAAGCCTAAAATTTTTCCTCAGAAACTGACAAACAGTACAGAATGGGACACGAGGACAGACGTACTTCCCTGTATGCCATGTTAGCAACAACAAAGAACAGGGAAGGCAGTAGGATGTGCTCCAGATAAAGCATAAGGCAATACAGGGTAATACATAGTAAAGTAAGAATGAAGGGTAGTGTACAGAAGTACAAACTCTTTCTAAACAGATCTTGGGTTCCTTTCACTTGTCTGTAACTTCAGGTTGCTATCTCACGCTGATTGCCTCGCTAAGTCAGGCTTCCCTCTCCCATCCCAGTATCATTTTCTCAAACGCAGGAGACAGCTGGGATGGCTGGAAAGCAAAAGACTGTAGGCAGAGATGTTGTAGAGTGATAACCTTTCTTATTTTAGGAGGCCATGTTGCATTGGAGCTTCTGGATGCAATTGTTTTTATGGACAAACTTCCCAAAAATAAGTTTCAGTTCTCCTTTTGGGCAGGACGAGGATAAAATATATGTTGATTCATTTTTTATGGATTTTAACTAAGCTTCCCTATAGCAAACACCTGGAGAGATGACCATTATTAAGCTAATCTTATCTAAAAAGTGAGATACAGGCAGAATTGCTATAGGAAGTTAATAGTTCAGCTTAGCTAATCTAAGATTTTCTCAACAGGAGGGAAAAAGGGAACCCAGGGGAGAGAGTTCTATACCTGTGCCTGAAGATCAAAGGTCAACATGGAAAAACAGAGGTTCAGCATGAAGTATTGTGACTGTAGGCTTTCTAGAGCACCACCCACTCGAAAGGCCATCATGCTTTGACTCTGAATGAGGATGATGGCACAGATCACATCAAAGGAGCCAACCAAAAGGATCAGAATGAAGCGGGCCTGATGGGAAAGAGAAATCAGGATGTGACTCGCTGTGCCAAAACAGGGACAGTCTTTAACCTTTAATCTTCCCACTGGAAATAATAAAGGAGTAAGAACCAGGCTGCCTATTAATGGCATTGTAACAGACAACAGTTAAAGATGACAGTCTGCCACACTGTTAAGTGGCAAAGATCACGCCATGATTTTTGCCATTTGTTGCAACCACTTGGTAATAACTGTAAACTCACCTTGGCTATTTTGGTTTACGTTACCCTCGATGTAGTAGTTTTACAACCGTTAAGAGAAGCATAACCTCTGCACTCCCTGTAATATCATGACGACTTTTAGCAAGGTTTTGTTTGAGGTTTTATCCTACAGTTTGAAGAAACAGCTTTCTTTGATAGAGACCGGCTTTAAGCTTCCTGTATGGCATAAACCACCTGGTAAGAATCTTCCCTATTGATTTCACTGGGACAGTGGGTTATTCTGAATGCTGTACTTACTAAATTGTGGAAAACATTGGTTTTGTCTGGGTTGTATCCACAACTTTGCTGGCATTCACACTAAATATCTGCTGCTTTAAAGATGGCTGAAGTAGCAAAACATCCTTCATAATTACACTGATATAAGAATGTTTATACTAGTATGCCTTATTCTGGCTCAGAAATTTTGCTCAGGAAGCAGGAGTTAGAGTAGTCCAAGTTACTTTTATAGTAGTAAAAAAAAGTCCTTAATAGTACATCTTCTACACCAGGCTTTATTTTGAGGTTCTTGTTTCATATATAAACTGATGACTGGGATCCATACCTTAAAGTAATTTGCATCTCTTTGACGCCTGTTCCTTATTGACCCTAACAAGCCAGTTTGCTGTAGATAAGTATGTTTAAGTAAATGTACAACTGATATGTAAATTGAATAGGCAAATTCTGCTTTGCTGTATCTTCCTAGCTTGGTTGCCATCTCTTCTATCAAAGAGTAATTTTTGGATGACTTCACAGCAAGGAACCTCCTTCTCACATTTGTGATAAACGTGTGACCACAAAAGGGAAGGACTTCTGAGAAGCACGGCAAGTGGAAGTTTAACTACAAATCTTAGTAACGCATAGAATACAATCCTTGTATTAAATTTTATTGTTATGAAGTGCAAACAAGATAATCTGGAATGGCAGTACCTCCCCTAGCACATTGTATTTTTTTGTTTCCTTGCAGCAGGTTACTATAACTCTCATAAAAATACATGGCTGCACTTACGGAGCAGTGGGGCTAATGGCTGTGCCCTTGCATATAGACTTGCGATTCCAGTTCTGTCTGTAGGTTAGATTTACGTGACTTTAGGCCAGTCATTTTATAGATGGAAATCTGAAGGAGAGTAGGTGAAGTGAAGGATACCTTCTGCAGTAATCCTTTGTGAATAAATTCTTTGATATTTATGTTACTTTCAGATACTGCTACAAAGAAACCCATAGAATAGCTCAGAGGAACAGATTTGCAGTGGTGGAGGTGCATGTTTTGTTACTCAATGGTAGGAATAATTCAGCCTGATTTTTCTCTGTTATCAGTGCCCTTATCACAGCTGTCTTGCCTTTCCAAGATTTTCAAATCCAAGATGTGGAGAAAAGCAAAATTAATTAAAACCAGGAGACTAACCAGGAGTTTTGGCTTTTGCTCAGCAGAGAGAACTGTGAAGTTGACAATGGAACGAAACATCACTAGCAAGATGGAAAGAACAAAGACGATGAGCTCCTGGCGATTCTCCTGCAGGATTCCTCTAGTCACATAGTATACACAGAACACTGGGAAGGAGAAGGAGAGGTCAGTTACCAGGTGAACACAAATTGCACATGGTGCAATTTTTCGATATGCTTGATCCAGATGACAAAATGGAAGTATCAGGACTGTGTAACTTTGGCTCCTCAGTCAAGAGCGTATCTTTATACTTACCAAGGAGCCTGAATCAGATACTTAAAATGAGTACTCTCCCCTGTGTTCAGCATACAAGGCATGAAATAATTTGTTAGATTTTTACATTACTTGTGAAGTAACACTTTGAAAATGGCAACATATTAGCTATCCAAATTAATCAGCAGCTGTGGTACGTTATTCTAGTAATACTATATTGAACAGTATGTTGAACAGTATATTTGAATTCAATGATGCAACACCATTTTTATTAAAGAACTGAAATTACATTATCTTCCCAGTGAGAGTAATTCAAGTGACTAACAAGCCATTTACTACTCGTACTCAGACCTCTACAGTATTGTTTGCGTGGTTCTGACCGCTACAAATGGCTTGTGTGTTGAATTGAACTTAGACAGGCTGGATTCCTAACAGTTTATTTTTCTTGTGGAAATTTTGAAACGCCCCACCCTGCAAATTATAGTCCAGAAAAGAACTGGTTCGGACAAGTTCTGAGTTACGTTTTTATAAAATACATCAAAACCCACCACTCTTAACACCACAGTTAGCTGTCAGTGTTGGACCCTATGCTGTTTTGACAAAGCTTAAATAAGGAAGAGGCTTTCCTTTCGTAACAACAGGAATCAGTGCTTTGTTCTTATGTAGGATGCTCCTGCAAACACTAGTTAATTGTTACCATAAACAAAGTAACAATAGATTTCTTTTTCCAGAGGGCTACTTCCTGGATTCTGCACATCAAATAATCTAGTTTTTTTAGGCTGGGACATGGGGACAAAGCGTCGTAGCAGTTTTCAAAGTAACATAACAACTTCAGTCTCTCTAAAAAAAACCTTCTAGTGAATGAACTTCTTTTTCACTTAATTATTAAGTGATTGAGAAAACTGAAAATGATTGGCAAATTACAAAGTGACTCATATGACTTTTTTGCATGCTTGTGACCTCAGGAAGGCCTGAAAGATTTAAGACAGTATCTCCTTGTTTTGAAAATTCAGCTGCTAAATCAGAAGAAGTCTGTACAAATAATTTGAAAACAAACTTCTGAGCATTAAGATTTTTGCAGAGATAGCATATGCACGTTTCTGAAATAAAGGACATCCCCTTGTTTGTGGTAAGTGAACATTTTCCAACAAATTAAATCCCAAACCCTCTTTACAGTAAATCTCTCTAGTGGTAAATCCAAGAGATTGTTACAGCCAGGGCATCTATTTTTTCTTTAAAGAACTGTTATCAGTTCTGTCAGTCTTTGTCTAGCCTATAGGAAACATGGTTTTGGCATGTTTATGGAGGTTAGCTTACACATCTTGAAGTCTCAAGGTAAGCCAATCACAGTTTTAACACATTCCTTGAATTATGTTATCTTTACTGACTAATACATTGAAACAACTTTTGTTTGCATTAAACCTTTGAAATCTGAAGTCATGTTTTAAAAATACACTATTTTTCCAGATTTAAACCAGAGGCTTGTGAGAGGCGTGCGCTTCTTCCTGTGTGTGTGTTGCAGCATAGAATACTAATTAGTATCAACAGAAGGTAGGAGGGGGTAAAATAGATTAGCAAGCATGCTTTCAACTTCCCCATTTATAACATCATGTGATTCATTTGGTTTGCTATGAAGGTTCTTCATTTTTCTCTGAAGCACAAAACAGTGGTTGCTAACAAAAAAAGTGTGACAGATTGGAGGCACCAATGGTCTGTTCTAACATTGCAATTTTTGTTGGTATGCTGAGTCCTGTGTGAAAAGCTGCTAATCAAACCAGGGTTTTGGAATAAAAGTATTGTTTTATGTGTCTAATTATAGAATCTGGAACAAATCTATTGTCTTTGTTCCCTCTGGGTGAAAGCGTGAAAGCTAGAAAGCAATGACTGCTTATGATTAGCGTGTCCTTCTTGTACACAAGGTGTTACACCCACAGAGTCTATTCTTTTCTACATTGTTTTGGCCAGCGAGCCAACAGCCAAGACCTGCTAAAGCCACTGCAGAGGACTTCCTAAAATACTTACAGTTGTATTTATTTTCATGTTAAGTTTCACTTCTATTTAATACAAATGGACCCAGGAATATGAACCTAAGTTTCTACTGAAGCTCTAATTGCAAATATCCAGGGAAGTTCGGATTTTCCTTCCAGCAGGACAAAAATTATTAGACAAAAAAAAAAAAAAGAGAGCTTTAAAAAAAAATGAGGTCCTTGTTTTCTTTTATTAAAGTATTTCAGGTGAAGCAGCATCCTTGCAGGAACTTAACACAGAGAGATGACTTAACGTTTTCTTGTTTCAGATCAAACTGTGTATGTTTGGTTTCTTGCAATGTAAGAAGGTGCCTTGAAACCAACTACAACTCAGGTGTAAGCATGGCTCAGGTCAGGAGATGTACGTTCTATGACAAGCCTTGGAGCGTGGACACCTCTGAATTCCCCAGCATATTATGGCACAGACATTAAAATGGGAAATGGTAAGCTCTTTCTGGCATAGCTGAACATTCAGTATATCTTACATAAAGTGACAGCTGTCCGAAAGCAAAATCATTGCCAGATCTGCCTAATGAAACTCCAGTAAGAAAGCCAATTACAGCAAAACTTCCTAAAACCTGAGTATTTTTTCGCACTATTCACGTATGAATATTATTTTGGATGACACCACATCCATTACTGATCCTTTCCCTAAAATACTACTGGGAAAAGCAACAATGGCAAAAGCATCTAGATGGTTAGTGCTAAACTAGCAGAAGATTCTACGTGTAACATTATCAGGCCAAATGGAGTGAAATAAGAAACTTCAGGTGCTGCTTAATTACTACCTTGGGAAAAATTGCGTTTGTTTTAAAATACAAACAGTATGTTTCTTACCAACTCCAATTAACTGAATAAGAGAAATGGTGAAATCTTCCTCAGTTTGTCGAACGAGTGTCTCTACGGTTAGCCCTATCACACTTAGCAGAGACAAAATAGTGACACAGAAGTAGATCTTCACAGGAAATGATAGCTCTGAACAAGGTTTTATCTGTAAAGGAAGAAAATGTTTTAAACACGTAATGCACTATAAACTGGTTGCTGTTCCTAAGAAACACATTAAAGCAAGTGTTGTCGGCTAAACGACACGAGTGCAGGGTTTCCCTTGGAAAAAGGAAGAGAAGCTCTCTGTGACTGAATTCAAACTGCAAAACGGCTGCGGAAGGGAAAAGTCCAACTTTATTCCGTGATCAATCTCAGCCTAGATTTTTCTGGTGTTATACCTACAGCCTGCCTTCTACTTCTCTCAGTCCCTCGCGACGGTCAGCAAGCAACTTTTTCCCCGTACCCCGTTATCCAGACTTTCGGTTTTAGAAAACCGCGGAGAAGGGTTCACTCCTGAGCGAGGGGCAAAGGATTTGAGCGAGAGATTTTTTTGTTTTGTTTTTTTTCCCCCATTCACCCCAGGCAGCCTAAATCTCGGACACCCAAACTGCACCACGCTAGCAAAAATAATTTTACTTTCTCGTGATGTTTGGCAGTAAGGAGAAAAAAAAAAAAAAAAGGCCGGGGGAAAAAAAAAAAAAAAGGAAAAAAAAAAAAGGTGGTCGGGGGGGCGGCTGTTGTTCCCGGCGGGGTAGCGGGGTACTCACGGGGCCGCAGGGCGTGGGGATGAGCTGCCGGTGCCGGGGGGTGAGGTTCGGCAGAGGGGGGGCTGCGGCGGGGCGGGCGGGGGGGAGGAAGGAGG